CGGCCTAAAATTGACAGACAAAATGGCCGCCGTTCGTTCTCAAGTAGCGTAAAAATATGGTATATCAAGGTTGTGAACCCTACAGAGGTCACAATTTTTATCCGATTTTGTTGAAACTTGAAATGTACGTTTATTCGCGCATATCGGACCCTAACTTCCTGAATGATGGCCCCTGATTGTACGAAAATTCGCGTTTTTAGATTGTGGACCCTATAGAGGTTATAATTTTTATCCGATTTAAAAAACGTATTATTATATCAACGTTACACCCTAAGGACGGCTGAGATCGAATTTCGTGAAAATCGGCCAAAAATTGACAGACAAAATGGCCGCCGTTCGTTCTTAAATAGCGTAAAAATATGGTATATCAAGGCTGTGGACCCTATAGAGGTCACAATTTTTATCCGATTTTGTCGAAACTTGATATGTAAGTTTATAACCCAATGATCTCAGTTCCTTTCGATATTCGCGTATATCAGACCTTAACTTCCTGAATTATGGGCCCTAATTTTACGAAAAATCGCGTGTTTAGCTTGTGGGCCCTATAGAGGTCACAATTTTTATCCGATTTTGTTGAAACTTGAAATGTAAGTTTATAACCCGAAGATCTCGGTTCCATTTGATATTTGCGCATATCGGACCGTAACTTCCTGAATTATGGGCCCTAATTGTACGAACAATCGCGTGTTTAGCTTGTGGGCCCTATAGAGGTCACAATTTTTATCCGATTTTGTTGAAACTTGAAATGTAAGTTTATAACCCGAAGATCTCGGTTCCATTTGATATTTGCGCATATCGGACCGTAACTTCCTGAATAATGGCCCCTGATTGTACGAAAAATCGCGTTTTTAGCTTGTGGACCCTATAGAGGTCACAATTTTTATCCGATTTTGTTGAAACTTGAAATGTAAGTTTATAACTCGAAGATCTCGTTTCCTTTTGATATTTGCGCATATCGGACCGTAACTTCCTGAATTATGGCCCCTGATTGTATCCTGCCTGGGAGCCGCTGGTTGTACATTGTAAAGCTCCATAGAGCAAAATGGAATGAAATGAAATGGGTTTTAACGTTCTACTGTTCTGCTCCGAACTGGGCTTATGAAGACAGGCATACACCATACAGTGTGCTATGAGGGAAATTTTGCTCGGACAGCGGAACAACGGCCTACTCTTATATCGAATTCCAACTGTCAAGTGATATTTTACGTGCACGCCAATGTGTACACGGGACCACGGTTTTTGTCCCATCCAAACGACTAGACAACTGTCCTGGTCAGGCCCCCCGTCCTGCATCATTTACAAGGGGGAACCACGCCGGAAAATCTGGATGAACTTCTTGGTCAATGCAGGGACCGAAGACCCGACCTAGCGAGCCAGCATCTGACCCACTTAGCCACAGAGCAGCTAGCAGAAAAGTTAATTTTACTCCCTTTGCAAATTATGAAAGTTGATTAGTTTGGGCAGCCATTTTGACAGAACTGTCAAAGTTCGCGGAAAAAAGGCCAAGAATCATTCGGCGCATGCGCAGTAATCCGTACTGAGAACCGTTGCTGCGTCTCTACTATTTCAGCCTAGCACTTCAATCGGAAGAACTAACAAACTCGTGTGTAGCTAAAAATTAACATCTTTATTTGGATCAAATTATAATTTAGATACATCGCATTAAGGGGAGATAATTTGGGTGAGACACCAAACCTATGGATAACTTTCCGGGTATGGAAATAAATTAGGGAAATCAATACATTTGCCCTGTCAGGCCGGTGGATATGACGGAAATAGGTCTGAATTTGGTGATGTAAGAAAATGGTCAGATTTAGGGGAATGGGTGACCCACAACTAACTTGGATCAAACCAATCACGGTACAACCAAACCTATGAGCCTTTAAATAGGAGACCAATTATGGATAAATTCCCACAGCCAGAGCTAGGATATTAATTCCGTGCCCACTTTTGGCTGTCCATTTCCAATCCCAAAATCCGGATAGCTGCCAGTTGTGATAGGAACTTTAATAAGTGAACCGGGTGACCACTGAGGATTTCCTCATGAGCTAGGTCCTTGTTTTGTGTGGGCACGGGGTGGTTGATTAAGTCAATCCTTGATCGGCAGACGTGGGTGCAGGAGGGGCAAGGAAACTGCAGCTTGTCGTAAGGATTGGTGGTTGACGCCTTTCTTCTTACCCGTGCTGCAGTCACATCAGCTCTCCTCGAATTTGTCACGCGCCTGGATGGTGAGGGCGCGCCAACCTGGTCTGTCCATAGCATACAGCTCCGGCTGCTGGGGAAGTATGTCAGAGCGTTTGATGTTGGACTTCACGCAGTCCTTAAAGGAACAACTCACTTCTGTAGTATGGAAGACCAAACAGCTGTTTATTTAGTGTTCTTGGTCTTTAATTCTTAATTAATTCATAGTCCTTAATTCTTATTTCTTCATTGTACACTAAAATTAACAATACAAAATTAGCCTACATTTACATTTCATCAACGAAATACAACGAGAAAAAAATCTGGAACAACAAATTTCTAAATACAAATCTCCAAATACAAATCTTGCAAAACATTTCTTCAATAACATTTCTGGAAATCCATCGAATCGTAATATTATGACGACGTGAGCGGAAATCAACCTGGCATACAATAAGTCACCATACAAATACGACAACAAATGAAAAAATAAAATTTAAGGGGTATGAATTGAGGACTAAGAATTAAGAACACTGAATAAAGAGCTGTTTTGTCTTACATACTGCCGCGGTAAACGTGACAATAATGACAGCGAAATTACTTTTATTTTAATAACAGGTGAGTGGCTCAATATAAAACATGAGTAAAAATAGTAATAAGTATATACAATTCCATATATTAAAGTGTAACATGCTGAAGGTTATATTAAACACTAAAAGTCATAATTAATTTGCGATACATTTATAATGATATATTCACAATGATAATAACATTTATAATATTGATAACGACATTTATAAAAAATATTTATAATAACATCTATAATCATTTCATACATTAAATTTTAATTCATACTATGGGGTTAATATTCACTTAGTTTTTCTTTTGCATACTCAAACAGGGCGTCTAATTCGAAAAACTTTGCCTCTTGCATTATGGCGGTTAGTTTAAGGTTCTGCAAGGGCAATAAATGTAAAAAGGGGAATTAAGATTTCGAAAATATTCAAGTATTACATGAAAGAGTTCTGTGCTGCGGTCTAAAAAATAATAGCTGTTGTCATTTTCAGGTTTATATGGCTGAAAAGGTAAATTTGGATTAACCATTTGTGCCAAAATAAAAAATGGGTCCTTGCTGAGAATATAATGACTTATATGAAACAAGGTACCCCCAACATTTAATATGATGCGGTGGTCCTGGGCGGCTTGGAATGATTTAAGGTTTAAAACGTTTCTACTGGTCGTGTGCAATTCCGCTACCTCGCTACTGTGGGGGTGTAAGGAAACACCAGTATGAATGGCCGGTTTAATTACATGTATATCATCATCATTTTATTATTATTATTATTAATTGACACGGTTTCATTCTTGTCTTTCTTAGCTGATATCGCCGAGGCTGTCTTGTGTAAAGCTGTTGGGACAGATGATGGTGTTGATGATAATGATGACAGTTGCAGGTTTTTGATAAGGGTGATGGGTTACTGTTTTTTCTCCGGGTATTCATTGGCTTTGTTTGCATTGCAACTGTTCTTGTTTTCTTGTGTGTGGTGATTTCTGGTTCATGTAAGTGCATTGTTGGGGAAATCTTGTTCAATTAAATTAGGGGTAATGGCTGGTTAATTGAGATCTTGGGGACTTTTTGTCCGTTGTATGGTTTTTCTGGAAGTCTTCTTTTTCAAAAAGGAACTTGCAGCTGCTTATCTGCTGTAGGCATGAATTTCTTTGTAAATGTGAGGACTCTTTTTCTTCCGCAAAAGGTTTTATACTCTTCCTGGTCGTGTTTGCTGAAGGTCCTGGTTACTTTATTGATAAGATTCATCCTGACAGTTCCAGGACATTTTTGGTGTAATGTCGGTGTAATGCCCTTCAAGGAGGTGCCGCGTTTCAGTTATCAGTCTATGGTCCAATTCCCGGTACTTCATTTCTCTGAGCTTCATAGAAGCACCAGCAGCAAGCTGTTTACAAATCACGGTGGTTCCATATATATTATCCTCTGAAAAGAGCTCATCATCATGTAAATATGATAAACACAGTTCACATGTCATATGCTAAGTGAGTAGTCTGCTGAACGATTAATCTGCTGAACACAGTTCTCTGCACCATGAAACTGGCCCATTTGATTAAGGTGTTAATTATAATCCGATAATCATTAACTGTTCAGGGATTAAAAACTGGCATAGTGGGGTGACCCCGTCACTACGGCCTACCCTTATTTCGAATTCCATCTTTTATGGGCACGCCAATGTGTACATGGGGCCTCTTCTTTTCGTACAATCCGATCGACTAGACACTGTTATTTCTGAATATATCAGATTTTATCTGCCGTTTTATAATAGTTATATGCCTAAGGCATTATCCATAAATATAATTACAATTAGAATTCAATATTTGTAGCGCTATGAGCATAAACTTGTGTATGCAGTTTAGCGCGTTATAAGTGCACAATTATATTTCTATAATATTGGTCTATTTTAATCAATATTGATGGTGTTATATTGCCGTAAAAATATGGGGTCCTTATATCCAATATTTAAGGAAGGGTCATGAATGCTATTCTTTCAGGCGGCATTTGTAATGAACAAAGGAAAATATATTCTAAAAGACAATGCGCAGGTAATTAGTAATGGCGGATTCACAACCGACAAAATAATGAAAATCAAAAGAATGTAGAATGGACTAAGCAGGCGTGAACTATTGTCGTTCAATCTGGACTGTTCAGGTATTTCACCGAACATATAATTGGGTAGAAATTACAAACTCATTTTTTTTTTTATTTGAAATATAAATCACTTTATATACATCCATATTACATAAATGTGTGCTTTTAGACCTATTTTCGTCTATTTTACGGTTCCAAAGAATAGAGCAATACGCCCCTTAACTATGCAATGGACAGAGGGATTTTCACTGTGGTGTCTTTAACTGGTGTATAATATAAATTACAATGGTAAAATGTGAGTAGATATCGCAAGCAACCCATCTGTTATATTGTTATATTGAGTTAATAACGCATTTATTGGGTGAGTAAATAACGAGCTTATTGTGTTATTAATAATGAGCTCATTGCGTGAGTTAAATGGAATGAGGTCTAACATCTCGTCAACAAATATTCCAGTTAGTTTCTACATAGGTATATCTATGAATGAATTTAACCATAAAGTCTATCATATCCGTAATTCCAGCCATGTCACAAGACAAGGGAGCTAACGTATGTAAGCTACTCTAGCCGAGTCTAGTTTTTCCTAACAGACATCATATGAACTGATCTAATAATAGAAAACACCCATTCACCACTTATATTTTAATATAGTTTGTAGGTAATTTCTCGAATTTTAAATTCTTTTAGCCAATGAATAAATTCCCTCTGCTGTATCAGCGCTATAATCATCATTACCATCAGCACCACGAATAGCGGAAAAATCTGCATTATCTTCAACAGAATAATTGATATCACCGTCACCACCGTCCAGTACTTCGTCATGAACATCTCCAATGTGATTATATGTATCATCCGTCACAACTAGTTGTTCACGACTATCTCCGATATAGTGGTAGTCATCCCTTTCCAGGCCAGCGTTATTGTCCCCAGCAATATGGTTGTAAGTATCATCAGTAATAATTTGAGACTGGTTCACTCCTATATGGTGGTAGTTATCTTCCTCAGTGGTAAACAAACCAAGATGGTTATAATTACAATCTGGGGCTGTGGTTGTCTTGTTGGAGTTACCTCCCTTTAAATAGTGGTAACCCCCATCTGACGTCCCGACGTCTATTCCAATATGATTATAACTGTCTTTCCTTTTAGACGGTTTTGCATGGTTATCTGCCCATATAGCATCATAGTTATTACCAGAGGCCAGCTGGGCATTATCTGGCCTCGTGTTGTTCGACTCAAATTCATAATATACAGGAGTGATGGTTGCAGGTATATTTACGTCAGTGTCATAAGTGGACTTGGCATGGGCATTGTTTGGTGGTACGGAATCTGTCCCTTGTTTCCTTGAAGGAATAAATTTAAAAACAACGACATTCAGTTAATTTATGGCAACACTAATGTTTTTAGGACAAAATTTCTCACTTTATCTGATTCAAAATAAGTGTCATTTAATTTCACATTCAATATCAGTTCCGACACAGGATAAAACAACTTCTGTTGTTATTAGATATGTAGCTTTGCTTATGTAAATTATAAGAGAGCGAGAGAGAGAGAGAGAGAGAGAGGGAGAGAGAAAGAGAGAGAGAGAGGGGGGGTTAACGACCACTCGACACAAACTAGGTTATTTCGGGACTAACACGTGGTTCGATTTTATTTCTATAATTCTCTTGCGCATAGGGACCTTTAGCAGTGGGAGGAAACCGGAGAAAACCCACGAAACCACACCAGTTGACTCAATGACAGACCTTATGATACAGTTCGCACGCGCTAACCATTCGGCCATCCAACCCCCCTAATAATAATAGTAAAATTATAACAATAAACTTACCCCTCCATATAAAGATAACCAATTAGCAAAATTCATAATAAACTTACCTTTTAATAAGGAATATAACAACAACAACTATAACACCAACTAATAAAACACCGACAATTCCACCAACAATACCTCCTACATCTGTGTTAACAAATGCATAATATCATATTTATTGTACTGGACGTTAAATCGGTAATAAACAACACCAAGAACATAAAGGAAATTAAAATTTATTTTGAAAACACCCTAAATACGAATAAACGAACATATGGTATTTAACTCGGCATATATCCGACAAAGATAAAAATTACATTCAAAATTACAATAGAACATAAAAATCAAGTCCTATACCACATTTGTTACTCATTTTTCTTGGCAATGAATAAAACAGACCCATATTTCGTTTCGTTATTATTCCCTGTTTCACCACTCGCGTACGCGTCACGCGTCATGCTTTTTAAATAATTCCACTATTATCAACTAATAAACCGGAATTTCCCCCATATTTTCACAGCCCGAAACGACTAACTACCGTTTTATTTAAATATAAATACAAATACATATTTAATTGTCCTTTCAAAATTAATGCTTTATTTTATTTTTATTTCTAACTAAATGTAGAGATAATTATAAACTTACCTGTTTCAGCCTTGGTTTCTGATGAACCTTAAATATAATGGTTTAGGTGTTAATTTAAAGAAAACGGTAATATGTTGTTGTAGAGATAAATAGACATGTCAAAAGGTGCAATTCTGTTCATAGGTACAGATGACGTTATATAACTAAATAATGGGAGATTAATTCAGTGAGAGGAAAGATTTTAAATATTAAATATTAAAAGAAAACGGTAATATGTTCGTTGTTGATCTCTCAGGCAATCTAATTAAAATACAGATCTATATTTCTTTTCGTTTTTTTTTTACTTTTGATGGCCTATACTACACGAAGATCTGACAAGTTATAGTGGGAGTTCACGTCACGGGTCAAACGACCGACCTTTGACCCTATGTCGTCAGACATTGATTGATCAATCAGCGTTGACGTTTCTAGTGGTTTACCAACAGTTCCGAGCACCAAAAGGTCAAGAACTCGCCGTAACAAACCGTTTCATTGGCTAATCCCTCACATCATCCAGAACACGTCAATGATAACAACTCTTCCAGCTCCTAGTGTAGTAAGGACAGGTAAAACGAAATTTTGAACTAAGAAACGAAACGAAATAGGATCTGTGTTTTAATCAGATTGTCTCTCGGCTATCATCAGTCATTGTTATGGATTATATTGCTTGAATATTATCAAATACTGCTAACTCTCGCGGACCGCGATCAAGAGTGGATTTAGATGACGAAAGAGAGAGAGAGAGAAATGGGGTTTAACGTCCACTCGACACAAACTAGGTCATTTCGGGACTAACATATGGTTTAATTTTATTTCAATAATTCGCTTGCGCATAGGGGTCTTTAGCAGTGGGAGGAAACCGGAGGACCCGGAGAAAACCCACGAGGTTAGACAGGCGCCCCTACTCCTTGTCACGTACAACCGGGGATTCAGATGACGAAAGGTCCTAGACTATCCCCACGACTAAAGGGAGAGTAAAGTATGTTTTAAACATAATTGTACAATTGTTTAAGACAACAGTCCGTGTAAAAAAGTTTTATGACAGTGTCAAAAATAAAATACACATTGACCGGAGGCCCCTTAGATCTTAAGGCCTAAAGCCTTCCGAGTCAAAAGGTAAATCCAGACTGACGGCGAGGAAAGCCGCGATAAGTCATAGATTAAAGATGTCACCAAAAATGAACATTCACAACCCTAAATGCATTATACTCATTCGCGATTACACAAATAACAAACATTTGTAGTACAGTTGAAACAGGGGGGGGATGGGTGGGGGTGATTAAGGTACAGGGAATCTAAACCACGCCACTTGACTCAATGCAGTTGTACCAGTTGTGTGGAACTATGCGACTATGGTTTGAGTGGGTTTAAATTACCTTTCTGTTATTAATTTACAGGTATGCATTTCTCAGAGATAAACCACTAAACTAGAGCTTGGTCATGTCTTTCCTACGAAACAATGTCAAATTGCACTGCAGACTTATAAAAACACGGTTTTCACTAACCTCACTGAACCGACATTGGGAGGACACAGATTAACCTTTAAAAAATATTCCAGGAAAAAAAGTGAGTTGTGTACCTTGTTTGAATGCGTTTGTATTAACAATAGTTGGTGGTTGGATGCTTGTTGATATGCTTGGGATGGATCTACTAATTTGTATTGTTGACTGTTGAGTTGGAAATGTAACTGTATTTAAAGTAGAAGTTACTACGGTAGAAGTAGAGTTACCAGGCCCTGGTGTTGTAGTTGTGGGATAAAATGCTGTAAGATAAAATACATGAGTAAACCACGGTGAGAACTTTAATGCCCAATCATCGGAACTACTTAATACTAGTTTTGGACTAAAATATAACATATTTTTATTTCAGTAGAAAGAGGTGAAACCGAGATGGTCAAATGATCAATTGAATATTGTCATATTACGAGGGTCGGAGGCTTTGAGGTCCCCGTGTGTGGATTTGATCAGGACAAATGTTACATTTATTAACTGATCTTCTAATCATTCGAAATCCGATCAGATTGTTTGTTTACTTCGGGCGTTGTGGGGGTAGGTATATTCAATTGGTCAGAATAGTACTATCCGTTCCTTTACAATTAAATTCTGAAATAAGCGAGCTAGACAAGCGTTTCTCCACCACGGCATAGAAAATAATGTTTTTAAGATATTTAATCCTCGTAATGTAGACTCAAGCGGCCTTTTTAAAAGTTTCCGTTATGGATGATTTGCATAATTTGCATCCTGATTTATTGGCACTAGCTATATAGTCGGATAGTTGCGAAGATACCCACAGTAAAGATCATAAAATTATTACTATAACAGATCTTGTTCAAATAAGAAGTGAAAGGGCTTTTCTGATCAGATTCAACTCTACAAACCAGTATAATTGTTTTAAACCTGCTGCTCATGGAAAGCTTTAATTGTAAATTACAACTGAGGGCAACTGGCGTTTCGGCAACTGGGAGGTTATGGTTTACTAGAACAATACTGGATTCCCTGTAAAACGCCTATGGGCCAAGCACTGGGCAAAAATGTCAGGGTATCACTAAATGGCAGCCCGATGGATTGTTGTTTGCCAGCTTAATTAAGGGGGCGGTTGTTATTTCTTGATCAAATGGTTAGGTGGTTTGGGGTACTGGTAAGGCAAGGCATCATTTGTATTAGCTTTGTTCAAATCTAAAATAGCACATATGCGAACAGAAACCCAATTTTATGCTGAAAGCGGGTCTTTAATTTGAATTAGTTTAATTAAAATTAATGAACTCACTTTTATCCACACAATCATATTCGACAATGCTGTAGCTATGAAATCTATCACCAAAATCACAGTATCTAGATTTTTCATTCAGTTGATTCTTGTTAAGAGAACATTTCAATTTTGTGTTACACGTCTCTTGTAACTCAGATAGAATAGTTTTGTTAAGGGGTGTAAAACAATCGTCATCATCTATTGCACAACATTTTCTGGTTTTTCTCTTACAGTCAGATACACCCACAGATGAACACCTTTGTCTATAGCCAAACCTTACACTAGTTAGATATATAACGTTTGTTGTTTGACATTCCAATATATGACCAGTACAATAAAGACCTGGTGCTCCATAGCAAACTGTACTTGTTTTTGTTTCTGTAATATAAACCACATTTTAGATTCAGCTAAAACAGTAAAAAAAATATTAAGCTATTTAAAAAGATAAATAGGACTTTTTGTCTTCAAATGTTATAATCAACTCTCTAGACAACTGGATGGTTGTGGTTTTGAACGGATTCAAACACGATCGTCATTTGATAGTTTGATTTAAAAATGGACAATCAAGACTTTGTTTATTATCATACCAATGGCAGCAATGAAATCGACACTACGGTTTTCTTCATATTTTCATAACTGCGCCCAGAATAACGTAATTTGAGAACTGTCAGCACTTCGTCTAATTCTTACATAATGCATGCATCTCTAATGATACATGGAACTGTGAATAGGTATATTTAGTACAGAACCACATTTTAAACGGGACGAAATAGTGTTATAATATCACGGAAACATTCATAACTCTGTCCCTTGCAATTTTATACATCCAGATACTAGTTTGTGCAATTTAAATTAAACTGCTTTACAAAACAAAATGTAAAGTTTTCTGTTAATCTTTAGTTAAAGTCAACAAACGGTTGCCATGCAAGATACGCCTAAATTTTTTCAAGAGATAGACAGAGAACTAGCTAAACATTAATGTGATTTTTTGTACAATCAGGGACCGTAATCTAGGAAGATATGGTTCGATATGCGCGAATACCGCGTACGAGTGCTGCCATTTTGTCCGGCAGTTTTGGTCCGATTTTTACGAAATTCAAACTCAACAATCATTACGGTGATATATTCAAACGGTTTTTTTTAATCGGATAATAATTGTGACCTCTAAAGGGACCACAAGGTAAAAACGCGATTTTTCGCACAATCAGGGGCCATAATTCAGGAAGGTATGATCCGATATGCGCAAATATTGAAAGGAACCAATATCTTTGGGTTATAAACATGCATGTCAGGTTTCATCAAAATCAGATGACAATTGTGAAGTCTAGAATGTCCACAAGCTAAAAACGTGATTTTTCGTACAATCAGGGGCCATAATCCATGAAGTTTCGATCTGATACATGCCAATATCTAAAGCAACCCAGATCTTTTGGAGATAAACCTATATGTCAAGTTTCGTCAAAATCGGATAAGAATTGTCACCTGTACAGTGTCCACAAACAATTGTGGACGTACTTACGGACGGACACGGGCAACGACAGTATACGTCCACATGAAAATGTGGGCGTATAAAAAAGTATAAAATTTATTAAGCTATTTAATGGACTGTTTAGTTTCGTAATATATCACACCAGAAGTACATGTTACTTAGATTTTAAAGGGCTAATCCCGATATTTTTTGCAGAATACAACTGCTTAATTTTGTGTTAAAATCCCTTAAATTCCTCTAGCTAAGGGCCGAGCAACTAACACAATATTTGTGATACGTTTTCAAACAACTTAAACCCGCCAGTCTGCATCTGGAAATGGAGACCTGTGTCTCAAACTGTATTATGCGGTGTCTGCATAAAACTAGACTTTTATTTTATAATAATAATGTGTAGGTGAAATTTACCTTTCGTTATCAAATAGAGCACATGGGTCATTCACTATATAGACCTCCCAAGGAACGGGAATCGATTGTCAGGTCACCCAACGAAAAAACTGACCCGAAATCTTAAAAGGGTTACGTGTCCGGATAAGCAGTTTTGACGTTCACGTCCAAACGACTCAATATTTTGAGTTGGAATTTTGAGAGAAGGTAAATACACCATTTTGGCGCTTAAATTTCATACGTACTCCGACTTTTATATTTGAGACTCTTTTGAAATCGGGATAGTCCCTTTAAATGACGAAAAACAATTTAGCCACCGTCAAAATCTGTTATTTTCGTATTCCAAGATCATAACGAATGTCCAAAACAACGTGGGTTTAGGGCTTTTACAGTCTGTGGTAACAGCAAAATAATATCTTTGAAATCATTAGTTTGCCTTTATCATGGTTCTGATTTAATCGCCTTTTTGGTACAATTAAATATATAGCTTTCGCCTTCTGAAATAGTGCTGCTATCACTAACGATTGGTGTATAAAAATCATACCCATCTGTACCACATTGTGGAACACCGTCAAGTACCAAAACAGCACTAAACATTCATTTCTTCTTATTAACATGTTTGCCTTCTATTCAGGCACCAAAAAACTTGGACTTGGTGATGATCTGGGTTAACCTATTGGCATTGTCGTATGTGACTTTTGCATGTTTACCTGGAATAAAATTTTACCATTAATTAACAAATATCTAAAAGAGAATGGTATTTTTTCAGATTTATTAGTCATTTGAAACTGGTCGAAAACGGGCCGCTTTGTTGCGTTCTATATTGAGGGAATCTTGTGTGCGAAGATTATGCTACAATAGGTATAGCTAGGTTGGGGGTGGTTGCTTACTCGCTTTGTAGCACCATAGGTCTTTTGTCTGACGTGGAGAGCGGACGTTGTCAAACCGGTCGCCACATCCTACATACGACCCATGCATCTTTTCTAACTACATATTTCTGTAGCCTTGTGATCGTCTTGAATTTGTCTCTAGCTGTATTTACTTCTTACAGTTCCTTAAGACGTCTGTCTTACCAGGAATAACAATGCAACAGTTCGCTTCTACATTTTATATAGCATAGCCGAATACATGTATACAAGCACAGATTACAATACTAGCTAAAATAATTTCTTCACCCTAGCCAGCATCGCGGCTGTCTAGGAACTCAGATGTAACCTCTCTAGAATCTAATGGAAGTCTAACGAATTCTCACAATTATGATAGTTTTGTAGCTGTGGGTTTTGGACGTTCAATTATCTCATTGGTCAAATATCATACAAATACGTATACAGATTTGTCAAACAAGCCAAATGATGCAATCGTAATTTTCCGTCACATGTTTTTCGACACAATCTATCCTTGAACTCAGGCCCTCTTTCCTGTTATTCTCAATTAATTTGCGTTTTAAATAAACTCATACCATAGCTATTATACTGACAATAGAGAATAATTTGTAAAAATAAAAAATGTTGTTTAACCCATCTTATTTCTCTATTCCTTGTCTATAAATTTAAAAACGATGTCGTAACGACGAAAGTGCTACAGCTTGACTGTTTCTTTCTCGATTATCCTAAAAGTAAATTAGTCTCTAAATCACACGAGGCAATCTGTTTCACAGAGTATTACGAAAATCTTCTAATATCTCTATAAAAGATGACTGCCTTCAACAAATGACGTCATATCACGCGGCGTCAATCATTGGCTCAATGACGCCTGCATTATTTACACAAGACGTTACAGATTCGAGCAGAATAGCGCCTTTTACTCATTTTAATACCCATTTACACTAAAATGGGAAATAATTTTTACCTACAAATACTTCAAAAGTCTTTATTTATTTTTCTAATACATAAAAAAAGGTTTTAAAATTTAATTTGTCGGAGGAAAAAAGTTAATATTTGTGGCTCATTAAGTCGCATTGATGTCATCATTATCAGTGATTGTCGCGGCCTGGCGAATATTAACTGCTGATCAGTGTGCACATGAGGGTGTTCAACTTGTAAGTTTATTTCCAGAGTGGATATATATGTTGCACTCTGCTTGAGTTTATATACATGATTAGCCCATTAAACAATTAATATAATAGCTTTAATTAGACAGCTGGACTAGTTTGAATCGACTTAAATTATAAATCTCTAGACTTTAGGTAATTAAAACAATGAAATTAATTTACTTACTATTCTGTCAAGCTTGAGAGTTAATTAACGTCTATAACGAATAAGGTGTGTATTAATAACAAAATATATACAAAACTTTAAATACATAATATTTCACAATTAATGTGGTATGTACATGTAGAGTTATAATTATCACAAAACATATGGTAGATTTTGTATTCGACACACTAAATGGGCATTACAACATCACTGCCGTTGCTTTCGGAGAGTGTCCATTTTTTCTTAAACGAATGTTTATACCCCCTTAAAATATTTAATATCCAATGCTTTACATGTAATATTTAATAGTTTGTATTGTTTTATTTAATATCTAACAACTGATAAAAAAAATTAAATATTAAATACCTGGTGCTATCAGTTTGTTATTGTGGGTACCATGTACAAAGCAGGGTATGTTAACCCTTTCAAGAACATCGGGCACCCCTTCTCATATAATGTACACTTAACACAATCTAGGTCATTGCGAGCATTTCATAAGTCGCGTGCTCACATTGGTTTAGCCGTATGAGGACACCGGGTGTCACCCACGAGGTTAGTCAGGGTTTTCTAATCGGTCTCATTGTCACACACAAACGTAGGGTATCATGATTTTAGCATATCGGGTGAACTAGACACGGGAATTACGCCATTTAAATTGAAATCATTCAGTTGGACTTCAGTGTGTTAATTTCCTAATTTCTACTTTTCAAGTTGCATTTTGGCTTGGTATACGTGTTGGCATCATAAATAAATACAAAATATGACCGAGTCGAAAGTCGACAAGACGGTATACAAGCCAAAACGCAAGTCGAAAATTAGAAACTAGGAAACAACGAGGGGCGCTATTATCGTTGTGTATTATTTCTTAATTTCCTGTTTTCGAGTCAATTTTGGCTTGTATAGCCTGCTGTAGCCTCACATTTTGTCCTAACTTCTACTTCTTTTCGACTTTCGTGTTTTCAAGGGGCGAAGAGTAGAAATTACAAATGGTAGTTATAGGCTTCCATAGTTAACAGAGTACTTGTTTTAAAAAAGAATGTCAAATCAAGTTTGCCGGAGTGAGAAGTCACCGCTCAAATCACAGGTCTAGCGCTCATCATAGTGTTATCACAGTACGAGTCTTAAAAGAGTTTTGCCAGGACTGAGAAGTCACATAACAGGTTATATAACCAGAAATCTATGGTGTTTGCTATGGTAATTTGGACTGATAAAGCGGACGTACAATGAAGGTTGACTCGAAATATTACTTGACTCTGCTTGAAAATGGAATACTACCCGATTGCCATAGCCTCTATCCGAACAACTACATGTACTATGTATTCCAGCACCTTGGGTGGCAATCAACATGAACAGATAGACGAAGCATTTTCTCTTGGATGTCATGGCAGACATAATAAAGATCAGCCGCTGTCTCCGGACCTGCATCCAATGGATTACGCCATCTGAGACAGTCTCTCGGTAAAGGTTTATGAAGGACGCACGAAACCATGTACGGAAAATCAACTGAAGAATACAATTCGGTCAAAATGGGCAGACATAAGCTTAGAAGAAATACGAAATCCGAATTGTGAGTGGAAAACGGTCTGACGTCATGTTGTTTATGTAAACTGAGTTGGATGTGATATGACTTCTTACTCCGGCAAAACTTAAATTTGAAATTAGTTTTTAAAACTCGTACTATGTTAATACTATTTGCGAGGTGGACCTGAAATTTGAAGTAAAATTGTCAGACATCCACCATATGGTACAAACTGTTAAATGTTACATCAATGATATACTGTTTGAATTATTCCACTCCCTATTCTGGGACAACTGATATGTAATCTAAGGCGTACACGTTAGACCGCCCGTCCACCCATCCGAACAACGTGCTAGACACGACACCTTTAGTCTAAGACAGGTGTGTCAAACTCATTTCGATTCAGGGGTCACATGAACTTAAAGTTTACATCAAGTGGGCCGGTGATATACAAAAATATCAAGATAAACTAAATGTCCTTGAACTTTACTGAATTCTAAAAACAAAGCCAAACGTCCTTGACACAGGTATTTTTTTAGACTGGTTTCCAAATTGCCAAGATATAATAATGAACACAACGTTCTCTTGTATTGCATGCAGGGGTGTGGATGGCTGAGTGGTTAGCGTAGCTGTATCATAAAGTCTGTCATTGAGTCGATTGGCGTGGTTTCGGTTCCCCGGTTGTACGTGACAAGGAGTAGGGTCGCCTGTCCAACCTCGTGGGTTTTCTCCTGGTCCCCCGGTTTCCCCCCACTGCTAAAGACCCCAACGCGCTAGCGAATTATTGAAAATAAAATTAAACAATATGTTAGTCCCGAAATGACCTAGTTTGTGTCAAGTGGACGTTAAACCCCATCTCTCTCTCTCTCTCTCTTTCTCTCTCTCTCTCTCTCTCTCTCTCTGTATTACATGCAACTTAGATATCTATGACGTACAGTACAGAAGTCTGAGTTTTACTGAATTCAGAAAACAATAATAAATGATTTCCATCGCTAGTTTCTAAGAATTATCGACACGTGTGTTTGTTGAAATTAGTTCCATGGGCCACATTTAAACCCTTGACGGGCCACATGTTTGACACCCCTGTTCCAAACATCAATAAACATTCATAAATATTTTAACGTACATTATGCAAGAGCTAAATCTGTCTATTTCAGCTCTTTCTTTAGACCTGAAATGTTATGTAAATTATTAATTAGACATTAATTAACCTATCCAGACCATAATCACCTCTAGTAATGATGATCAAGGCTAGCCGGAAATTTCAACCGCTTAGTTCTCGGTTCATAGTTGATCAGTTTGAATGAAAATATCAGCAAATTGCCTTTACATTATCTAGTTTTTAACTATTATAGTGAGAACTGCCAACTCGTTATCGAATCTCCCATAAGGTATCTTTAAGTAGTATTAATTCTAGCTTGACAAATAATATCACTATTACCTACGTCACTAACACTAGTCTAAGTACACAAGACAGGTGATACATACTGCAAAATCTTGGTCGTATAAACAAGTATTGGACGCCACAAATCCTGAGTAAAATCAGAGATAAAACGTCTAAATAAGAGTAAGTCGACTTCCTCAATGAAATGTTATCAAATGTTCGCAGGCAATGTCCTATACATCCTCTGTTACCCAGTGTACTCATTCCGTTCTACTCCACTATACTCTTGGGTTAATCCACAGTGTTTCCACGATTTCAAATTATCTGCCCTGGCCTAGAATGTAGATACAGTCTACGAACCAATCAGAAAACAGTTTACAAACCAATCGTTTCGCCTTCGTTTTTATAAGGGTAGATAACCATATTCATGTCCATTTACTGAATGATTTATGTAAATAATATATATATTTATAATTTTTTTAAATTTAATTGTATTATCAAAATCTTTAGTATGTGTTGTTGATTTCAAATATGTATAACATCTATATGTTTGACTTTTGTTATTATTATTACTATTCGTTCTTTGTCTGAAATATGTCATTCTGTTATGTTTATTATTATTGAACTTATACTTGGCAATTTGATACACAATAACTTGTCTACGAGATCACGTGGACATAAAATTCCGGGAACGAACGAACGATTCTAAATAAAACTAATGACCCTACATTATTATATATAATTAATTGTTAATAATTTCGGATAACTTGAAAACGTGTCTCCCCCGTAGACTAACCCAGGGTATAGTGGAGTAGAACGGAATGAGTACACTGGGTGACCGAGGATGTGTCCTATAATACAACACTAGATATATTTTTTTAGCCACATGACCTGGCTATAAATAAAACAAGTTAAAGATACAAGATAGGCGCGAGCGAACTATTCCCTTTCACGTACAAGCGGGTCGACACTCTGCCACTTGACTCAATTACAGACCTTATGATCTAAGGCGCAGAAATTAGACCATTCGACCACCATAACCCCCATTACCAATAATAGACAAAGAATCAATAACCACAATTAAATTAAAAAAGAAGTAAAAACTATTCAAATTCACATTTCCTTGTTTCGGTATTACAAATTGTTGGAATTTGTATTAATCCTCTCAAATCCATACTTTTAATAAGTTTGGTTTATATTAAAGGATTTAAACCTCTAAAATAAAAACAGGAATAAAAATTCAATATTATATTGATGTTATCTTACCGTGTGGGATCAAGATATCTAATATTTAGGACGCAATTAACATTCTAAAATCATTTATTTCAAGATTCCAAGAAATATAGCTATACGCCCTATAATTGTATGCCTCTTTTATAAACACTGGTCATTTAAAATTTATTGTATGCCTCCTTCATCAGTTTCTTTTAGTAACACTGATGGTTTTAAATTCATTGTATTACTCATTAACACAAATTGGAGCTGCGGTAGATAAGTGGGTAAGATGCTGGCTCACCAGCGGAGAAAGTTCATCGGGATTGTCCGACATGGTTTCCCCTTGTCAGTCGTGCAGGAAGGAGGGCCTGACAAGGAGCACAGCTGTCTTGTCGTTTGGATGAGACACAAAACTGAGGTCCCGTGTATACATTAGCGTGCACATAAAAGATCCCAATTCGATATAAGCGTGGGATATAGCTCCGCTGTTCGGGCAGCATTCACCTCATAGCATGCATGGCGTATGCCCGCCTTTTTTAGCTCAATCGGAGCAGAACAGTAGGACGTTAAACTCCATTTCATTTTAACACGAATTATTAATACTGATGATTTTATATTAATTGCAAGCCTCTTTAATCCGCATTTTAACACTGGTCGTTTCAAATTAATTGTATCTATCTTTAACCAGTTTTTTTTTTACACAAGGGGTTTTAAATTAATTGTATTCCTCTTTAACACGTATTATTAATACTGGTGGTTTAAAAAGAATGTTATGCCTCTTTAACCCGTATCTAAACAAAAGAGCTTTTTTTATATTAAGTGTTTAACCAGTTTAAATGGCGGTGGTTAATGAAGCGTGGCATATAAATAAGAGTCTCTGATGTTTTACTATTTCAGCCTTACTCTCTTGACATCAAAATAGATGTTCACCATCATATCAACTAGCTTTATGAGTTGATGTATAGCAGAATGACTGTTTTTAACTGGGCGTATTTTTTATTTATTTATGTGTTACCCTGTAATGTATCTACTCTGATATATACATATAATACAAAAGATGAAATTAGTTTGGTTTTTTTTCTAAAAACCTCATATTTCTATATACTTTTACCTGAGATCAGAATCATTTATTAAGTAAAATGTATATAGTTCATAGTTTATCCAATTAATAATATAATACATGTACAGATCCCATATATAGTTCATACAATATTAATATAGATGTTACACCATAATACAAGTCTATGTCTCATATATTTTAGTTCGTAAATTATAATAGAGTTATATACGTACCTTATATCGAATATACCTTTTGTTTTAACACTGAGAACAATACGACCACTTCTGTCCAAGATGTAGACACCATTTACCAGTCTCTCAATTAGAATTCACAGGGTATTCTTACACGAGTACATCTTCTGTTATAGCCATATCGAATACCTTTTGTTTTAAGGCTCAAATTGTAAACAAAACAACCCGTTTTAACATTGAGACCAATACGACCACGTTTGTCCAAGGTGTAGATACCATTTACCAGTCTCTCAATAAGAATTCACAGGGTTTTCTTATACGGTTACATATCCTCCTATTATAGCCAATTCATTGTCACAATTAAAAATATTCTCATGTAAAGTAAACTAAACACGTACGTCATACTTCTGTTGCCGAATTTATGATCGTGGGCATGAACAAGTATTGAACAAGTCTCTATGACAATTTGTGTGCTAAATTGTATTAGAAACTTGCATGGGCAAATACTTTAGATCTCAAAAGTGTTTGCTGTCTGTCACCGGTGTTTAAATGATTGACTGTTCTGTTCACCTCCTCTCTTATTACAGATAATACATTTGTGCAGTCACTCAACCGTGTCTTTGCAGCAACTTGATCAATGGGGTTTTGCTCGTCACATGCGCGGTCTCGTGAATCTAAAGTGGAAATGTTGTTTTCCTAGGGATTTTCAAACCTGCCGTCTTTTTACCTCCCGATCCTAACAGCGCCTGGGCGTGGATGGCCGAATGGTTATCGAGTGCGCGCTGCATCATAAGGTCTGTCATCGAGTTAACTGTCGTGGTTTCCATTCCCCGTTTGCTCGCGAAAAGGGATAGGGTCTCCTGTCCAACCTCGTGGGTTTCCTACGCGCAAGCGAATTATTGAAATAAGATTGAACCATATGTTAGTCCCGAAATGACCTAGTTTGTGTCTATCATATCGGCAATATCTATTTGTTAATCTTGTAGTTATAATTTCAGCAATATTTATATGTACAACCTGTAGTTATAATTTCAACAATATCTATATGTAAAACCTGTTGTTATAATTTCACCAATGTCGGATGCCATGTGATTACTGAAGATGCTGTTTTATTTGACCAACTTGATCATTGTAACAGTGCTTTAATTGCAACCGGAAATAAAATAAATTCCAATAACTTCAATAAAAGCCGCCAGAATCGCCCTTAAAACTAAACTCTATGAACATAATTCCCCAGTATTGATTTGATTACAGTGACTTTAGAATTCAAATTCAAGTACACGATAAATGAAACAGAATCGTCATGGCTGCAAAAGCCCATTCGTCATTATTCTTCGTATAAAAACTACATGAAGATCTGATGCCAAACCAATCTGATTAAAATACAGATCTATATTTCGTTTCGTTTTTAATACTTTCGATGACCTAAACTACATGAAGATCTGAACTATAAAAAACGAACCGAAATAGGATCTGTTTTTAGTACTCGATCAGAACTGGATCACATGAACTTTGAATATACCATATGTGTGTGGAATAGTGCTCGATAAATGGTATTATTTATGTTATTATTATTTATCTTGTAAACAAATTATTTAACTTCCGATCCGCACCTAACTCCCCAAATAATTACTGACATGAATCCAGTTGGGGGGCAGACCACCATTAACAAATTTTACTATCTCGATTGTAGTGTGTCTATTTATAGCAATTTAGCAATTCTCCCTCTCTCTTCTCCCCTTTTGCGTGCCCATTTTTGTTGATTTGTTGGTCTAGAATGGACGAAGAGGGTTTGAATTAACATGTGATGCCAGGTTTTGGTAAATATCTATGATTTAGTAGCGGAAGGATAGCAGAGTTAACAGGTTTGCTACTGTGCTATGTACGGCGAATAGTTGCATGATTTTAGTATGCTTCTTCAAGTTTGTGTGTCTCAAAATTTTGGTGTTCAACCTCATACAAATTCTGGTGCAAAGACATGACCGTTTGTTTCTCTGTCTATAGTGAAAAGCATTCAGCCCAACGAAAATTTGGGGAAAAGTTGAAGCCGGGCAAAGAGACCAGAATTAACGTTGAAGTCACATTGGATGTTAATGGTGGTCTGCGTCCAGTTACAATAGAGTTGTCCTGTAGTTATCCCCCTTTATACATATCTTCATCCTGCTCCACACAGGCGAAGGAATGGCGCCGTGAACTTGCGTCACGCATACTCATTTAGAACACCTGATAACATTCGTAAATTTTGGAAAGCATATACACATTATTAGTTATCCATTTCAACCTCAAACTTTAATTGAATTACAGAATTAAATCTTGCCACCTTTGCCATATGCGCGTGTGGGGCAGTTGTGCGTGGCATAGAACCATTCTTTTTCACCAATTCAACGTTTTAGATATATATTACACAATAGCTGCCAAGTTCAAATTTGTATGAAATGATTAGCATGAGATTATTTTATACTGTTGTTGATGAATTGGCCACTGGTACCCCCCTCCCCCAAAGACACAACCTTAGGAAGAGGGCTCAAGAATATTGCTTTCCTGGTATCTTGCAAAACTTGATGTATCTTGCAGTTTAGATGTCACAAGAAAGTCAGAAGAAATTGGGTGGGGTGGAATTAGACGTCCACTCAATACTAACCGGGTCATTTCTTGATTAAAACATAATATACTTTAATTTCAATAATTTACAAGATCCTTTAGATTTGACGGGAAACGGGGTATCCTGAGACGGCCCACGAGGTTAGACCCCGGCATCGAAACTATAATCCATTCTGATCACTTGAGTCAAGTTTTGGTTCGGTAACTTGTCCTTAATTGCCTTGTTCGTCCTCAGGCGACGCTCTTTGAAATGAAGCCAAAGGTTCTACCCAAACCCTACTCGTTCACGATCGACAAGAAGCGTGATAAAGGGTTGGGAGGGGGTGGGGTGGGCGTGGAATGTCCTAACGCTCCCTAACAGACCAGTCGAGATAAGAACCCAACTCACTAACAGACCCCCCAAATTATATCTAAGTGGTGGCGGGGTTCGTGGTGGGGGGGGGGGGGCGAATGGTTTAACGCTTGCCCGTTAGATCATAAGGTCTTTTATTGAGTCAAATTGTACGTAACAAGGAGTAGGACCGAGTGCACAACCTATCGTTTTTAGTCGGGGTTCCTTCCAATGGTCAAGACCACTAAGCGAAAGCGAATTATTTAAATAAAATTGAACCATCTGAAGTGACCTAGTTTGTGTCATTGGACGTTAAACCTCATTTAACTCTCTGCCTGAAACTTGGCATGCTTGTTGCTTGTTTATTATATCTTTCCGTATAATATTTGTTTATTATTAGCACAATATTTTATCACCGTCTGATGTCTGACAGTTTTATCTTAAGCTGTGATATATCTTACCTGTTGCTCTACACGGATTAATGTTTTGATTTATACACCCACTGAAAATCTTAATCTGACCTATGACAAAACTAACGATAGCTTATCTCCCCCTTACGTAAATGATGAACTAAGGGCGATAATTTGTAAAACTTGATTAGTCAAGAGACTGAGATCTTGACACGAGAGAAATAAAATGAAATGAAATGGGGTTTAACGTCCTACTGTTCGGCTCCGAACTGGGCTAATGAAGACGGGCATACCTCATATAGTGTGCTATGAAGACGGGCATACTCCATACAGTGCTATGAGGGAAATTTGTCCCGGACAGCGGCAATACGGCCTACTCTTAAATCGAATTCCAACTGTAAACAAAGGAGATCGAATTCATTGACATAATATATATATAGAGAGAGAAATGGGGTTTAACGTCCACTCGACACAAACTAGGTCATTTCGGGACTAACATATGGTTTAATTTTATTTCAATAATTCGCTTGCGCAGTGGGAGGAAACTGGAGGACCCGGAGAAAACCCACGAGATTGGACAGGCGACCCTACTCCTTGTCACGTACAACCGGGGGTTCGAAACCACGCCAGTCGACTCAATGACAGACTTTATGGTACAGCGCGCGCACGCTAACCATTCAGCCCCCCCCCCCCAACAAAATATAGTTGAATATATGGGTAAATACAAAACAATTGGAACCTTTACCGTTTCTCCAAAATATGGGAAGGGGTTGAAACTGGTTTGGGACCCGGTGTACAATATACATGTTACTTCCTTGTGAGGAGGGGGGTGGCCCAATGGTTAGCATGTGCGCGCTGTGTCATAAGGTCTGTCACTGACTCAACTGGCGTTGTTTCGATTCCCCGGTTGTACGTGACCAGGAGTAGGATCGCCTGTCCAACATCATGAGTTTTCTCCGGGTCCTTGGGTTTCCCCCCATTGCTAAAGACCCCTACGCGCAAGCGAATTATTGCAATAAAATTGAATCATCTAGTTTGTGTCGAGTGGACGTTAAAACCCATCTCTCTCTCTCTCTCTCTCTCTCTCTCGTTATTTTCGTGATAGGTAATGGGGGAGAGGGAATTTACCCGGTTAGTGTGTTAACGTGTACTTTTCTTCACTTGTCGGTCTGGGGCCTGTTTCACGAAATTTTAACTAAGATAAAATCCAAATTTTAGTAATATTATCCAATCAAATTACTAAAATTTGGATTTTATCTTAGTTAAAATTTCGTGAAACAGGCCCCAGATCTACAAGTGAAGAAAGCATTCTCAGACTTGAGTTAATAATTGTTCACCTTATTTTAACTAAAATATAGCCCTTTACAGCCCTTTATAAAACTTTTATTGTTTTAATGTATCAAATACATCCATAAGAAACTATGTGCATAGTTTTGTGTTTCTGGATCAAAGATATTTCTCATAAACAGTGGTTGAAAGTTGAGTATATTCTTAAGTCTGAGAATGCTTTGGGAACTCGGGGCCTGGGTTTTCGATCCATCCAAACCATTATGAACACACGTATTCTCGTCGTAGTTGCACCATCCCCATAGATCCTTTTTAGAACCCACCATGTCTACATTAACAAAGTCGGAGAAGAACAGTAGGACGTTAATAGACTCCATTTTATTTCAATTCTTAGTACTCGGCCCGATCGGTGCAGAACAGTAGGACGTTAAACTCCATTTCATTTTGTAATACCCCATGGACGCCGCACCGCACCCTTTCCATTGGACGCAATACGAAGCCAACGACCAACACGCCCATTTCCGCAGGTTGACACTCCTTTAAATGAAAAAGGCCTAAATATTGACAAAAGACAATAAATATATCTGATTTTCTTTATTTAATATAAACCTACCCGTCTCCATGTTAAATAATTTAAATACAAGTATTTTACATAATATAAATAATATTGCATAAATTCGTTGATAAATTTTCAAGAAGTTAGTTATTTGTTGGATATATAATATAAATTATTCTCTAGAAAAATTATAATCTGTCGTCTTGTGTCTCCACCTTGATCCAATTCTCTGTCCCCATCCTGATGTTTTATGTCTATTCGATGCTGAATAGGGTCAGCTAATTTCTTTAAATAATGATATTTTAATTGAGAGTCTATTCGATGCTGAATAGGGTCAGTTAATTTATTTAAATAATAATATTTTAATTGAGTGTTTGTTTGTGTCTATTCCATGCTGAATAAGGTCAGTTAATTTCTTTAAATAATGATATTTTAATTGAGTGTCTATTTGTGTCTATTCGATGCTGAATAGGGTCAGCTAATTTCTTTACATAGTGATATTTTAATTGAGTGCAACAGCTTTTTCATCAATAAAGATCGAATGATTTGTAATTTTAGAGTATAGGCATAATAGCTAGTTGCTTTTCCTTATGGTTGAGACATTGGACCTTGTGATCTAAAGACCACCCCGCCACGAAACTCCTCAGGGCATTTAGAATACCTCAAATCATTTGGTACTAAGGTGAAGACATACAACGCCATACTCCTGTTAAAAGGCAAAACCTAGTAACTCACTTTTTTATCAAAATTGAGTTAGGACCAAATTTGTAGTTACTGGGGTATGTGCTTCCTGTTGTTGTACTAGATATTCCAATCTTTTGATTTTGTAAGCAGTTACACCCATGACACAACCTAGTAACTTCCTTCATTTGCCTAGTATACCACAGCAAAACCTAGTAACTCTATAGTCAAATCAATGGATGAGCTGGGGTTTAATATTCATTCATTACGTTTTCCTTTGTTTTCTCAAAATAAGAAAAAAGCGAGTTACTAGGTTTTGCCTTTTGACGGGATTGTATAATTCTTTCTTAACACATGCATAGATATGAGGTATATGTTTAAAATAAATACAAGTTCCATCGCTCGTTTAAAACAGGTGCGTATTTATTTGGTTCCCAAGTTTACACGTAAAATCACGTGATCAGACTAAGCAACATTGATCATAGAAAGAACAAACTTTTCGTGCCTTCGAAACAATCACGCGGGCGCCTATTTAAAATAAACAATGTTGGTTCTTAGTATCCATACTGCATTTAATGGCCATACTCTACGTAATGACCAGTGAATTCACGCTAAGATCAAATCAAAGAGCCGATATCGTCATCGATGACGTAGTATTTTTCAACTCAATGGCTACCCTCGTATGTCCGTGACCAATGTTTTTAAACCGATTACGTCACGTCACGCGTATCCCAAATCATGATAAATATTTAGTTCATGACAAATCGAAATATTAAATATATTTAATTAAATTTACAGTGTCATAATTCTTAAGTACATTTGTCTAGTCTCTGTTCGAGTAGTTTTTCAACGATATCAACCAACCAAAGCTTGTTATAGAAGCTTATCACAGCAAAAAATATATTTAGTATCACAAACAATTATTTCAAATTCCATGAAAAGTTCTTCGTGTAAAAGAAATTGTTCTCCAAGTGACAGATCTTGAACAGCTATATGATTTCAATATAGACGCAAAGGCATCACTGAATGTTTCGCGCCGAAAATTATCCACCCCATCAATTCAAGATGGCAGCCGCATTTCCAATTATTTTGAAATTCAGAAAAAAACCGAAACGAAACGAAAATATAATCAGATTTCAATACGATTTTTTGAGACATACATCCATTCAACTTGTTCTGTAGCACTACGCATATATCGCCCTTTTTTCTGAGATTCTCATCGAAATATATTTTGGAAATTCAAATAGATATCATTTTCCGTATTCGGCATCTCGAGTTATCGAAATACATAAAACACTGTATATGACGCGAGCCAAAATAGCCGACACCACACGCTTCAAATAAATTTTGTTCGTTTTAGGACACTTCATAGCCCTTCAAATTTATTAGTAAACGTTTAATATCGTGTTGTTTATATCAGTTTTCCAACCACGATCGGTGTCCTATCAATTATCTTCACCTGTTCCGAAACATGAGAATCCACAGCATAGATGTATTTGCTACATCTTACAAGAATCAGGAACTCCTAATGACGTAGCACCAAGTTGAGAATCAGACAAATCGGAATCCGTTTCCCGCGATAACCTGTTTGTTTTCTTGCCAGGTTTTAAAGATGGCGACGATGGTGGTTTCTTTCCTTTAGTTTTCGTTTTAGATTTCTTGTCCTCCTTTTTCTCTTTTTCTTTTTTTGCTTTCATTTCCTCTTCTTTTCGTTTTTCTTCTTCTCTTCGTTTTTCTTCCTCCTCTTTCAAGTATTTTTTCTCGTCCTCTTTATCATCTTGAATGGAGAAAATACGAGAGCGGACGTACACGAATGGTCGTGTTTTATTTGGTATTTGAATTTTAGGGGGTTCAGGGGGCGGTTTGGGTGGTGGCGTCCATTTTGTTGTTGTATGAATAATCTCGGGCTTTTGTTCTGCTTCTTTCTTCTTTTTGGAAAAAAGTCTTTGCATAAAACCCGCCTTTTCGCTTTTTGGCTTTGGTTTAGAAGTTGCTGGGGTGCTGGTCCCCGGTTTATCAATTGGCTTCTCCATCGGTTGTGGAGCTATTGCACCAGCTACTTGTTCGCTCGTTCCTGAAGATACAGTTCCTATGGATGGCGTTAGCGAAAGACTCATGGAATCTCCAGATGTTAAAGATAAAAAGGACACGTCCGAGGAATCTGAACAAGACGACGGGGTTCTGGTCTCGGAAATTGCTGGAAGAGAAGGTTTCTGTTGTGCTTTGGTTTTCTGGGCACCGCCATATATGTCCGTCATTGGTTGCTCTGGGGAGCATTGTCGACTACTAATGGGAATTTTACTCGGCGAAACTTGTCTTTGGTTAGAAGTTCTTAGCGGTGGTGACTGTCCAGCTTTTTTCAGCAATGTATGGGTTGGCACGGTTGCTATTCGTCCAGGAGCTGAGTTATATCGTAACAGAGGTAGGCGACTTGGCGGAGACGTTTGAATTATTAAGGCACTAAGTGGCGAATTTTCTGTGGAGAATTGACGCGGAAGGCTGCGTGTTTTGTAAGTATTGTCATCTTCTGCCTTCTTTCCTTTTAGGGTTGTAATAGGTTGTGGCTTGCGCTTTGGAACGTCTATTTTCTTCCTCATCTGGACAGGAGTGGTGTTGGGGTCGACTTCAGATTTGGCCTGGCTGATATCCAGTTCATTGTCCAACTCCTTAAGCCTAGATTCAAGGAGCAATGGGTCCGTGTCTATCGTCTTATCTGGAGTTTTGGATAACGTCCTCCTAGGTTTAATTACAGGTGTTGCAGGTGAAGATACGGTTTCTCGAGGACCAACACATTTCGATGCTTGACTACTACTGGACGTTTTAAGAATGGATTTTATGGGCGTTGGATTCACAGCTGTTTGCGAATTACTTCCAGGCTTTAAGGAGTCGGGTTTTTCTGGCACTTGGGGTTTTGATGTTAAATGTCTTTCAGCTGAACCAGATGATGATCGTTTCGACTGTTTTGCATTAAGCGCAGTATCTTTCTTACTGACTGCTTTGTTGTCTTTAGGCTTCCTGGTCGTTTGTGTCTCGGCTAAAAGCTGCTGCAAATGTTTTTGTCTCTCTTCCTCTGATTTTTCGCTGGGAGAACCGGGTGATAGTTTTCCTTCTCGGAGACTAGATGAACTGTCTGTTAATATTAACGAGGACGTCAGCTCAGACGAATCTGACCCCCTTTTGTAGAGAAAGGATTTATCAAAGAATACATCGCTATCACTGCTTTGTCGCATGGTTGGGCTGTTTAATCGATCGGACACACTTCTTAGTTTGGTGATACATTCTGATATTTTCCCGTCAAGAAGAGTCTGGTCTGTTTCTACAGATGCGTCTCTTTGTTCAGCTTTGTTAGTCATGGTATCCTTATCCGAAACCAGATATTTATTTGATTCCCGACCTACACGACCCCCAAACTTTGCGGATTCCGCTAAATATCTGGATTGGTTGATAGTGCTCGTGGCTTTATCTGTTCTTGAGACATAAAATGTCATGGTACCTTTTGAGAAAAGATGTCTGATGGGAGTACAAGTTTCTTTCTCAAATGTTAACTTCTGATGGGTGTTTACTCCAACGTTTCTGAACAGTTGCGGTAGATCGTCGGTGACTGGTGTGGAGGTTCCAGATGGTTGAAAGGTCTGAGTTCCTGTTTCTATTCCATCTAACCAGTCTGTTGATGTTTCATCATCTACCATTTCAACATCATCTTCCGATGACGAGTAGTCAGACACCAGATCAAACTGAGCTTCTGGGAAGACGATCAAATCATCAACGTCAATCTCACTTAACAAACCTATGTACGGAAGAGATTCGGTTGACGTTGCTGCATCGGTGTAATGCAGCAAATTTTTGGGAACTTCTTCGTGCTCAAAGGCAGCCGTCACAGACTTATCACTTGTAGTAATTTCACTGGTTTGGGTGTCAACATCTACGACGTCTGGAGAATTACCATAAATGGACAGAGCCATGGTCCCGACTTCTTGAGTTTCATACTTCTGCGGCATTGTTCCACTGTCAATGTATTGTTTTTCATCATGAAGAAGATTTTCACACCGAACGCATTCTAAAATATCTGAATAGGAATTATTGAATGAATCGTCTAGACTTGAATTCACCAGGGTCCCCTCGCCTAACTTTGTTTTTCCACACTGCGTTTCTTTAGAATATGTCTGGGTATCTTCTTTGCATGTGCACAGTTCTGCCATGGTCATTTCATCCATCATCTCTACTTTATCGGTTGACGTTTCCGATTCTTCTGTTTGTATTTCAACGCACGTTTGTGCTTCTGAGGTTTGGATCTTTTCGGTCATAGTCTCTGATTCCGCCAAAACCACAACTGTTGCCACGCCCATTTCTTTATACGTTTTCACATCTGTGTATGTGGCCTGTTCCATGGTTATTACGGCATTTGTTGAGACACCAGCGTCAAAGGTTGCTGGTGTTGGTGGCGAAACGCCCGTGTCTATAAACTGGGGTTTGTTGGTTAACGTCCACTTATCAGTATACTGTATTTGGTTGGTACCCGTTTCTTTATCACAGAGCCGAACATCCAACGTTTCTGTACTTGACTCCATGCAATGAAAACTAAGGCGATCCATACTTTTCGTCCATACATCCATATTTTCGGTTCCAACACAAATACTTTCATAGTGGACATCTTTGACACCATTAACCTTTGCCGGCTCCGTTACACCATTTGAAACGACGTTTTCGTTAACCGGCAAATCCGTCTGTGACTCCCGTGTTGCCAATCTACGAGGACGCATGTTCGTCGCGACGGTTCGTTGTCGTGGTCGCACTTGCACTCCATAATCGCCATATTCCACTGCTTGTGTTGCCGTGGAACGTTCATTTAACGTTGGATTGACCGTGCATGTCGCACGCTCTGTCGTCATCATTTTCTCTGTCCACGTCACTTTCGATTCGCTGGTCACGTGTGGAGTACCTGTTGCACAGTTAACGAGAGGGACCTTGACAGTACAAACACCTTTGTGCTGTTGGCCTTCATAATCAGTTGCAACTGACGAGTTTTTCGTTTTAGTTATCGGGGTTTGTGTTTCTATAGCTACAGATATAGGTGAAACCATAACACTCTGATCTTTTTGTAATATTTTATCCGGGGATGTTTCCTTATCTGTCATTGTTGGAGCAGAAGTAGAACGTAACCGACTAATGTTATTATAATCACGTCGCGCCATACTTGCACTGGTATTATTAACCTCGGCATGCCCATTAACCATATCATCACCAGTCATTAATGTACCGTTGCGAAATGACTTATCATCTTCGGTATTATCGATAGCGCTAATGTCTGTCTGTATTTTTCGGCTACGAATCCATCTATTTTGTCTATTATAAGAGGAATTCGTATCGCATGCTGAGTTCGTGACATTTGAACTCGATTGAGACCAGTTATCTCCCATGGATTGAGGAGGAGGTATGCTAGGTATTGAGGTCATGCTAGTTTGGTCGTACATTGGAACTTTATCCGTTTGGCTTTTTAGGGATCTGACATCTAATGATGGTGTCATGGTCCCTTTTGTTTTGGATTCCATTGTGAAAACTGTTACTCCACGATCTCGTGTCTCCTTCACCAGGGTCGACGTCTGTTTTGTGCACATTGTTAAAGGCTCGGTTTGCATTTCGCAACATGTTTGCATAATTTTCATGTCCGCTGCCATTGAGGATGTCCCCACACTATATTCCTTAATAGTAGTTTGAGTCGACTGAGTAACTCCTTCACTAGAATAAATAGAATCTTTAATAGATTTTGGTCCCTCGTGTTCCCCATTAACAGAGAGATAACCCAACCTGACATCGCCGGGAATAAACCGAACATCCTCGGGCAGATTATCGGGTACCTGGGGTAATTGTGAATCAAGCAGGTGCGCGAATTTAGCCTGTAATTCACGTTTTAGTAACATCATTTCCACCCCTTTGTCTTTCATAATTATTTCAGTTAAATTACACGTACTTTGAAGATGATCTAAGTTCTCTTGTAACCAAGATTTGTTCTGAATGAACTCGAGAACATCACTTCCGAAAAGATCATCAACTTTTTTGATAAGTTCACGTTCCCGAGCACGCACCTGAGTCATATAGTCGATCGCAATATCACGGATTCTTTCTCGTATTTCTTTCATAAGTAATTCATATTTATCAATGAGTTTAACTCGCGATGCAACACCCCCTAGCCTCTCCTTGCACCGATCGAGTAAATCGACTAACGTTTCTTTGTACTTAGTAAAACCGTCATTGAAGGAACAAATCTCGTGATCTCGATGTTCTTGGAACGTACACACGACACAGATACACGCGTCACAGGGTTCACAATAAAATCTGACAATTTCTTCCGGATGAGCCTTGCATTCTATATCCTTCTCACCCTCGATGTCAATAAGACTGTGTTTTTGTGTAACTTTGGTCGTCATGTGTAATTCAACACATCCCGCACATAAAAATTTATTACATTCCAAGCATTTTGAACAGGCTTCGTTTGAACGGGGCCTTATTGTATGGCATATTTCACACGGCGGTATTTTCGTACATGTTCGTTTGTTGATCACTTCCGTTAAACTGGACACGAGGAAATTATCCTGTAAGTTTCGGATACCTCCACTCGGAATTTCCGTCTTTTTCCGACAAAGTGGACACGTTACGTATCGACTGTACAAGTTATAGCGAGAAGGTCGGCTGTTTTCCGCCTCTGTGTGTTTCTGCACGCAGTCACAACAGAACGTGTGCAAACAAATCAAAGTCTTGGGATCTTTGTAAGGTTCAAAACAAATCTTACAGATGAGAAACTGGTCGTTGATTTCTTTCATAAGTTTTGTTCCCGTCGCCATCTTGAAATGTGTGTTTGTTGTTCGATTTGTCTCGTGTTTATTGGCAGGTTAAGAAAATTTGCTTAAATGCAGGTTTATTGACAGTTGACTTCTCACCATTACCGTTGACAAATTTTCGTCCCTTTATAAGACCCTATCCACGATGCAACCGACATTTTAACTATATAGGTCAAACTAATCACATAAACCTTGTTTACTTTTTTTGATTAGACGAATAAAATGGCGATTTTTATTTACCGTTCAACACACCAGATCTGTCTGAGTAACACGAATATTTTTCAAGACAGACAATTTTCTGCTGAATATAAAATTTCATTAAATAACTTGATTCACCGATGGCGGGTGTACCTGAACCATAAATTGGTAAGTGCCTTTACACACAGTTGGATATTAATTGCTGCAAAATTAAAGTGTTTGTTTTTATGGCATCAGAAAGTAATGCACCGAAACAAGAATCCACGGTACTTGTTTTTTTAATATGTTCCAAATATATCCTGCGTGTTTGTCCAACCGAGCATATAAACTAACACACGTGTGTGTGTCGGCGAGGATATCGGATGCGTGTTATCATTTGTTCAGCTAAAAAAGAGTCTCGATATCAGGATAAACATAAGACACCATATACACTGATAAACGGAGCCGTTAATTAATTATGTAATATAGGTAATTTAATTTGAATTTACAGACACTGTGCAACACTTTACTTAATATACGAAAGAGTTTGAACTCTGAAATTTAATCTAATTTTGGTGCGATTTAGTAAAAGTTGGATTGTGCGTCTGCTACTACAAACGGTAATATCGTAGATTTCTGCGAATCAATCAATGTTTTAAAACGTTTCGAACACGTTACATTTCTATGTCCAGTTTATCCAGTTGTCATGTTATTATTTATGCTCCTTGAACGTTTAAATAGAAGCACACAATTATTTTCTTAGCCCCTTTTTACTTTTGCGGACCCTTATGTCACTTATTATAGTGATATAATGACTCTGTATTGTTTATAAACACGTTACAGCGCAGCTTATCGTAAAACCGTGTATTCCTGTTTCAATTGTTAATGTTACGTCCATAGTGGCTTTAATCAAAGGCACTCGTACTACAATGTGTTAGGTGTTAAAATCATTTGGCACATGTTCTTATACTGAAAAACTTTTTGTCTGGTAGAAACATTGTTGTAGATTTCCCAATGGCGTCAACGTCAGGATACAGGTTTCCTTGAGCCGATATATCGGTATTTATTCCTGAAATACGATGCTGATGTCTTTCATGTGATGCCAATAGTATATTTACTCTTTTCAGAACATCTGATACCACTTCTTTATGCGCAGCTTGTTTTATGAGTAAACAACGTCAGGTTTCTACATTCTTATGTTGCATTGCAATTTAATGTTAACACCGTGTAAAATAACGATGATTTTTAAGAGTTCAATAATTTCCCTTAAATGAAATTCCCCTTTAATATTTATTTCTAACGATGGCGTTTTCACAGTTGTAGGGTCTTCCTGAATGCAACGACCCTTTAAAAATGTCTTTTAATTCATAAAAACTAAATTCACTTGACAACGAGAAGTTAACAGAAATCGCCTTTAAAGTTTTACACTGGGGTTTTGCTATCCTGAGTTCATTAAACGTAATGCACATACATGACAACGTGTGCCAGTTATTGCCAATTTTACCGTTAACTCAATGAGGGCACTTCACACAAAAATCCACTCTCTAGCCACATTAGTTGAAATTGCTCCCTGATATTGTGCGTTTATGATGTTAAATTAACAGACATTACACTGCCGTTTTATACGAAACATCAAATAAAATAACGAAACGAAATTATCCACTTTGTAAAAGTCGCGTTCTCTTGATGTTGACTGTAGATCTACTTTGTTTCGTCGTAACTTTTCTGATTGATTTGCCGGATGTTAATGGCGAAGTAACTAGTAAAATTAATGTCCTTTCCATGCTGATACTATCTGATCTAATCACCAACTCCTCCCATATCGCTACAAATTACTACTCCTAATAACCTCACTCATACTAATATTAGTTATTACTCGCTTGTGTTGCCATTTCTCGCTGTTTATTTTGTATACAGCAGACGAAACACGGGCAAACGTGCACAGAATCAACACACACAAAACTTTTAACAAATATTAGCCCGTTGGGAAATTGTGTGTTTCTCTTAAGTAATATCAAATGGCAGGAAATGGTTTTACAAATAGAGATAGCGTGTTTCTGCCGTTCATAAATATCTTAATATTTGTCCAGTTACGTCTCTCACGAAAAGAATTTCAACAGCTGAGAAATGTTCGGTATTTGTGTGATAAACTACAATGGGTTGTATTCGGTGCATTGTGTACACTTAGTTTATTTCCACTTTTTCGTGATTGTGTTTCGGATGCCGAGCTGCATTCATCGCTCTTCGATTTGTTTCCCCCTTTTTAAAAAGTTTAGAGTGATAACAGTTTGTTTGGCCCGTGTGTATAGATTGTATTCGCGTGTAGTTTGTTTCCACTGTTCCGTAATTGGGGTTTGGATAACGGACTGCATTCACTGCACTTCGGTTTGTTTTGTTCCCCTCGTCCCTATTAAATCGCCTAGATCGCTGATACAGTGCTTGATCTTTGTCTATCGATCCCTTATATATCAATTCTTAAGTAAACTGCTTCACTCTAGTGAAGTTATCCAATATATGAACTGCTACTAAGGCTCGTGTACTTTGATTTATCATTTTCTACATATATATCGCCAGGTTATTTGAGTTACACGGGTCGATCTATGCAACTAATTTAAATTTTTGGAGTTATTCGGGTAGAATTCTATTCGACGTTATGCAATATAATCTTCAGCCAGCCCCATGTTATAGATTCAGTCTTGGAGACAGTCCACTCTTCCTTTCACAATAGCCCTGAAAAATAAAGAAAAAATGGTTAATTTGGAACTAAAAGACAAAGATTAGAGCAAATGCGTCGCATGACTTGTGATTCACTTTCGATAACGAACCGAATTAACACTCAACATAGAGTAAAGAATGTTATCGATGGTTTTTCAGATAGATATTCACATTTTTATCTATAGTATACCTATATCAGTTAATCTAAATCTCCGAGGATTAGTGTGAAACAGGTGCGCGGTATATGGTATCAAGTTGAATAGTTGAAGAGTGTGTGTAGTGTTCGGTGGCCTGTATCTTGGACCTAATGTAATGCACACCTTCTATTTGCTCTTGGTCCACTTTGCTGAATGTGTCCACTGGGTTTTCTATATTGACCATTGTGTATTAGATTTGTCTTCCCACATTTTTCAATACATAGAATGCAGATCACTTTCCAGTGTTCTAGAAAAGGAAAGACTATCTACACAAACACTATTTATGGAATAACAATTACTGGTTTATTAACATGCAACGTTTCAACGATGATACCCTCGTCTTTATCAAGCAAATGTTAAAAAAAGACTATCCAGCCTTTTGCAGGACATAGGTTACTGATAATAAAGCTGTTGTCTAGATTTTCTACACGACTTGTCAGTGGTGACAGCGCATTAAATTTGTTTTCTTGATTTGTCACCAGAACTATAAGTGAGGATAGCGCTTTAATGCTGTTTCTGAATTTTCTACCACACGAGTCACTGATAATAGCACATTAACGCTGTTTTCTGGACTTTCAAGCTGGTATAACCTTATGGTAGTAAATATTTTACAGTCAACAGTAATACATGTTTCCTTATACAAGTGGTCTGTGGAATGTCAAAAGGCTAAGAATGAATGGTATACAAGACTTGTGAACTTTGACCCATCGTACAGCTGGGTACAATGTCGTATCAGATCATATTATATGTATGTGAATATAAAAGCGATCTAAATGAAATGAAATGCTGTTTAACGCCCTGCTGTTTGCTCCAACTGGGCTAATGAAGACTGGCATGCACCATACAGTGTGCTATGAGCGAAATGAATTCAACTTCCAAGGGATCTTTTTTACGTTAGTCCTGTGTGTAAACGGACCTTGGTTTTTCATCCCATCCGAAAAAATATATGTTGGCCCTTGCCAGGCCCTCAGTCCTGGGACCTGATGAACTTTGTCGGCCAATACCGGGATCGAACATCGGACATCCAGGTTAGCGAGCCAAAAACCACCGCTCCCTAAAAGCGCTGGACTCGCAGGTAGTGTATCCCATTTGCATTACACACTGTTCGCCAGCCATACTGTATTAACTAGAAACATACAGGGCAAACACATGGACAGGACAAAGACACGGACATTGCAAGGTACTCTCCCAATCGCGTTCTTTGATAATGGTAATTAGTCTGCTATAATCACCATCTTTATGTGCAAATATCTCCAGTTGAAAATGGACGTATGAAAATCAAGCAATGCCTAAAAACCCTTATGATTTGGTGCGTCAGGGGGATCACGGTGGCTAAGTGGGTAAGACGCTGGCTCGCTAGCCTGGAGGTCGGGTGTTCGATCCCTGCATTGGCCGAGAAAGTTCATCCAGATTTTCTGGCGTTATTCTCCCTTGTCAGTGATGCAGGACGGAGGACCTGACAAGGACAGCTGTCTAGTCGTTAGGATGGGACGAAAAACCGAGGTCACGTGTACACATTCACGTGCACGTAAAAGATCCTTTGACAGTTGGAATTCGATATAACAGTAGGTCGTAGTGCACACTGTATGGCGTATGCCCGTCTTCATTAGCCAAGTTCGGAGCAGAACAGTAGGACGTTAAACCCCATTTCATTTCATTTCTGATGCGTCAGGAGTGATCCTTTTATATTATTACTAGCAGGATACCCGGCTTCGCTCGGGGGTCATAACTCCGAAACCGGAAGTGGCAGACTAACGCCACCTGGCCTATGTTACTCCCCGGTCCGAGCTACCCCTATACCCCAAATTTCAGACTCGGGGCAGACCTAGTGTAGCCGCCAACCCCGAACAGACCGGCTTCGCTCGGGGGTCATAACTCCGAAACCGGAAGTGGTAGACTAACGCCACCTGGCCTATGTTACTCCCCGGTCCGAGCTACCCCTTTACCCCAAATTTCAGACTCGGGGCAGACCTAGTGTAGCCGCCAACCCCGAACAGACAGACAGAAAAGAAAGACCGACAGACAGACAGACAGACAAACGACAGTCACAAATATATATATAGATATTCCCTATTCCCTTACGCTTTTCGTAAAGAAAATAGGGAGCACAACTATATAACCTTACATCCAATGTTGGGATAGCAAGTCATTTAAATACATGCCACAGTTCATTCATATTTCACTTAAATTATACATTACTAATCATATTGAACATAATGCATTTAAGTAATGTTGTCGATTCATTTTTATTCAAAGTTACTTTATTTATAGTTTATTTATTACCGGTTATGCATCTATGTATTTAAATTATAATGTATATATTGATTCGCTTTCTCGTTTAAAATTATAATGAATTATAACAATATGTATGGAAAGGGCTATTTTAAGTTTTTGAAACTTGTATCTCATCATTTTGATATGTGTTAATAAATTATGTTTAAATTAAACATTGTAAGGCATCAAAGAACTATCAGGATGATTGATCCGGGAACAGACAATATGCGTCGCAGGGGGGGTGCGGGGGTCAGCGCTCGGGACAAACCCGTGGAAACGATAACCACCGCGCTGTACAGAACCATGTCCGTGGCGACACGGGCTTCACATAACCTGATGTTTGTTCTTGTATTCCCGTCTTCATTAGCCCAGTAGATAGAAATGAAATGAAATGGGGTTTAACTTCCTACTGTTCTGCTCCGAACTAGGCTACTGAAGACGAGCATACGCCATACAGTGTGCTATGAGGGAAATTGTGCCTGAACAGCGGCACTACGGCCTCGGTACACGGGACCTCGGTTTTTTCCGTCCCATCCCAACGGACTAGACAGCTGCCCTTGTCAGGCCCTCCGTCATGCATCACTGACAAGGGGGAACCACGCCGGAAAATCTGGATGAACTTGCCCAGTAGTAGACTCCGTTTCATTTATGGTTCATTAATTGAAGATATTTCAATAGGATTGGGTGCATTCTGAAAGTAATAGACAATGCCGCGAACCGCTCAACCTCACACAGAAGAAATAATATATATAAGATGACGGTACAGACAACCTTATAACAAGTCACAATTTCTCTCAGATGAGATCGAACATTATAATCTACAAGAGATCGGTGGCGTAAAGAAGCTGATAACGGTAGTCAATAATTCAGTCTGAAATAATTTCGGTTTGTTTAATGCCAAAGGGTTCTGTCTCGGTGCATATTAAACCGAGTTTCTGTGATAGAACATGAAAGGTGCGCTTTATTAGAAATATTTCGGTTGACTGCCTGGGCTCAGCTCTTTAAGCTAGCGGCGTCTACACTTCCAATAAACCTATAGATCTACCCTCCTAGCCATGTCTCTTCATTTATACACATGAAATCAGGGGACCATATATATAAAGGGTGTATGGCTCTATTCTTTTGAACCTTGAAATAGACTAAAATGGTTCTAAAAGCACATATCGCTGTAATGTGAATGTATGTAAAGTGATTTATATTCATTTTTAAAAATAAAATATTGTAATTTCTAATCAATTATGTTCGGTGAAATACGCGAACAGTCCAAATTGAACGGCAGTCTTGTACGTCTACCAAGTCAATTCTACGCGATTTTTAACGAAAACACTAGAAATTTTTAGAAACTTGTACTTAAACGTGAAATTAAAAATGTATTTTGTCGTTTGTGAATCAGCTATTTACTTGCGCATTGTTAAGTAGCATATGTTTGTTTTTGTTCATTACAAATGGCGCCCAAAACCATAAATGTTCAATGTGTCTTAAATATTGCATATTAGGAGTCCATATTTTCACGGTCAGTTAAAAGAATCAATATTGATTGAAATGGACCAATTCGTGTTTTTAATTTCGAATATTATGGACAATATAGAGTTAGAGATTTAGCTTCTTTAACACATAAAATCAAAGGAACCATATATTTTTATATATAAACACCATACTTATGTACGTGGTGACAAACAGTTATATAATAAAGGCGACTTGTATAATATAGAATTCAATCGGATCATAGAGATGTCCATCAAAAGACTGTACCCAACATGTGGCGCTGTCTGCAATGTAATGATAAACCGAATTGAACGATATTTGGACTGATATCCCTTATAGAGATGTAATGCATTTCACAATATTGTAGTTCGCAAGGGATCCATCATTCAAAACCCAGGCCCTGTGCACACAATGGCGTGCAGATGAAAGATCCTTTGCCGTTGGAATTCGATACAAGAGTAGGCCGTAGCGCCGCTGTCCGAGCAAGATTCCCCTCATAGCACATGCATGGTGTATGCCCGTCTTAATTATCCCAGTCGGAGTAGAAAAGTAGGACGCTAAACCTCATTGCATTACATTTCATTTTCAACATTTAGAATAAGCCACAGTAATTATAACCACTGTTCAATCCCTAGCAATGGACTGCGGGGATTTAATCTTGTATATGGTATAACTTAGAGTAAATTACGGAAGTTGATTATTTATTCATTTTCAGACAAGTTGCTTTCGTCAGATCTTATTCCGTTAAATTGAAGAGTTAATGTACCCGTATAAACTACAAGGGTTTGTAAGAAACCATCTGGTCTTATAGACCAAACAAACAACCCAAACAAGGGTCATGGTACTTTTACTTTTATCAACAACAAAATTCATTTCTTTCACAGATCAATGATATTGCATACCTCTTTACGGTCAAGGGGGTTGGATGGCCGAATGGTTAGCGCCTGCGCGCTGCATCATAAGGTCTGTCATTGAGTCAACTGGCGTGGTTTCCATTCCCCGGTTGTACGTGACAAGGAGTAGAACCTCGTGGGTTTTCTCCGGGTCCTCCAGTTTCCT